TTAGACACTTTGCACAGAGTCTGCAGTGGGAACAGTGTTTCTTAGAGTAAGGCAAAGTCATTGGGAGGTTCGGAGACAGGTTAGATTTGCGGAGAACAAGCCTGGAACTCGGGTCGGGGCGCCGCGCCGCGACCTCCAGTCTCCGCTGAAGTTTCCGCCAAAGTCTCCGCTAAAAGTGCTTCTCACATATTTATTTTCATGCCTCCCGTAATCACAGGGACAGCAACGTGTTGGAGAAGCTTTGTCTTGTGTGTGTTAGACGAGAGAGAGAGAGCAGTGGAAACGATAGAGAGAGCAGGGGAGACATCTGCTGCAGCAGGAGGGTCGCAGACTGGTCACAGCAGCATCATGATTTATATTTTTTTACTATTTTCATGAACATTTACAATGTTACAGTGTGTGCTCTGTGTGTGTTCATGTTCTAGTGATAAATATATGTCTGTCAGTTAGAAAAATACAAATATTGTATGAAAATTCTAAAATCCACTATTTCTAACGCCAAATGACGTCATAATATGCAAATTAGATAGGGGGATTTATTCTCTACATACACTTTGGACCATCCTTTATATTTTTCTAATTAACAGAAAGCCTTTATCTCTTATCACTTTTAAGTTATAGCCTTTTGAAATTAAGATGTCAAAATCGAGCGTTTTGGAAAAAAACCTCTGGCGCTTAAAGGGTTAAAGAACACACACATTATGTGTTATTAAAGAACACACACTTTATGTGTTATTAAAGAACACACACTTTATGTGTTATTAAAGAACAGTCTCTCCTGCCTCTAGTCTCTCTCTCTCTCTCTCTCGCCAACCAGCCTCCACCCCCTCATTCCCTCCCTCCATCCTTCCCTTCCATCCTCCCCCTCCAGCCTCCCCCTTCCCCCTCCCTGGGTCCTGGTCCTTTCTCTCCCACTCTGAAGAGCCTGGAGCTGGCAGAATTGGCCGTTGAGCCGGTCCTTCTCCGTTTAGCAGCCGCTTGTTGTTTGTTGCACGTTTGCAGGTGATGTTGCCAGATCAGCAGATGGACAAACTGTGAAAGGATCAGAAACAATTAGTAGAAATGAACTGGTTTTAATGTCCCCAAAACAACCTGCAGGAACCTGCTGAACCCCAGCCTCAGTCTGGGTCTACAGCCTCAGTCCTGGGTCTACAGCCCCAGTCCTAGGTCTACAGCCTCAGTCCTGGGCCTACAGCCTCAGTCCTGGGTCTACAGCCTCAGTCCTGGGTCTACAGTCTCAGTCCTGGGCCTACAGCCTCAGTCCTAGGCCTACAGCCTCAGTCCTGGGTCTACAGCCTCAGTCCTGGGCCTACAGCCTCAGTCCTGGGTCTACAGCCTCAGTCCTGGGTCTACAGCCTCAGTCCTGGGTCTACAGCCTCAGTCCTGGGTCTACAGCCTCTGTCCTGGGTCTACGTCCTCAGTCCTGGGTCTACAGTCTCAGTCCTGGGTCTACGTCCTCAGTCCTGGGTCTACAGCCTCAGTAAGGCAAGGAAAGGCAAGTTTATTTGTATAGCGCAATTTCATACACAAGGCAACTCAAAGTGCTGAACAAAATAAGAAAGCATTAAAATCATAAATAATCACAGAAAGAAAGATAAAAATATAAAATCCCTCAGTTGTAGCACAGCTAAACAGAAGTCCACACTACACAATGCACAAATCATCACCATTAAAATACAATTAAAAACACATATGTAATTAAAAAGCATTAAAATCACACAAGTAATTTAAAAACATAAGAATCACACAAGTAATTAAAAACAATAAAATAGTTAAAAACACAAAAAGTTACATCCAGGTTAAAGACCCACCTGTTCTCAGCTGCTTTTCAATATGTTTTATTCTAATGTATAAATCTGCACGGCTTCTTTTAAGCTGGAATTACTTATCTGTTATCTTTTTCTTATGAATTTTTGTTTTTAATTTTAAATCATGCTTTTTATTCTGTTACTTTTGAATGCTTCTTCTGCACCCAGCTGTAATGCTTCTTAATTTTTTATTTAAAGTACTTTGAATTGTTTTGTAATATGAATTGTGCTGTACAAATAAACTTGCCTTGCCTTTTTAATTTCTTTGAAATAAATGTTTGAAACAACTTCATGTGGCAAAGCAATATTTATTGAGAAATTAACTTTTTTGGAGGGGGGGGTGTAATCTCTTGGAAAAGTTAACAGTGCAAAAGAACGTGTGCAGTCAACGTATAAATATTTCAGCATGAAAAGACGGACAACATAATAATAAAATAGTAACACTGCTGTTAGTGCAAGTACAACAGTGTTTTCACCGCCTGGAGGCTGTAGATGGCCAAGTCCTGCACCCAACCACAGCAGAAAGCCTCGTAACTCTCCAGTGACTTGTGACTTCTAAACTCCTGCATTGTATAATAACTAACACCGAAAACAAGGTAATTCACTATATCCATGTACGTGCACGGAGGCAAAAAGTCAAGGTATTTTTGCCACTCCGCTGCAGGAAGCTCGTATGGGTCTACCTGTTGTATGTCTGAGAGCTTCTCCAAATAACGTTGTTTTGCTTTTCCCTGTACGGTCCATTTCCTTTCGCCTTCACTTTCTCCATTAACTGTCTTGCTAGTGTTGTAATCGTAGATTTATCTACTGCCGAAATAATAAACGGCCGCTCAAGTTAAAGACCTCTGGAGCGTTAGCATAGACTGTAGCTATATACTGAGCGTTAGTGGCGTTGCCCCTGGCAACCGATAGAGGATCCTATCAACATGGCCGACCGGATTAGACCCCGCCCAAATTATCACGTGACTCCTCATTCTCAATAGGATCAGTAGCGGGTCCTGAGCAGATCCGTGAGGTCCGCAGATCCACGGTGAAAAGGGCCGTGGGTGGCGGATGTGCGGCAGATACTTTTTGCTAGGATACGCCTAACGCGTGCGCAAATGAATCAGCCTCCTCTATGAAAGTGTTTCTTCACTTTTTTCCTGGGGAGGGGCAGCTCGTGGCATTTTTTTTTCAAACGGACCTGGTTAAAAAAAAACACAGCATTGACTTGTGGAACTTAGCTTTGGACCAAGTGCCATGTTTTGAACTGAGCTCTAAAGCCGTGTTTTGACTCATGGAAAGTCTAGGGTTCCACAGTGTAATTCCGTTTACGCAGAAGTACTAAAGGGATTATATCCATATTTCATACTTGACCAGCCCATCGCTTCCACTGAACGGGATCAGGCTTTTACATGCAGACATGGGCACGACAAAACAAATGTCCAGAGTATACCCTGCCCCTGCCCATGTTGAAGTACAGACTCTCTAATCTCCAGGGACTTTGAGACCAGTTTGAGAACATCTGCCTTAGCTGTATGTTTTGTTTTACCTTGGAGTCAGGCCATATGACCCTCTCTCCAGCAGCAGCAGCAGCAGCAGCAGCAGCAGCAGCAGCAGCAGCAGAGTTTCCATAGGCAGCATACTGAGGGAAGTCCCGAAGTGTAAAGCCCTCCTCTACAGTGGTACAGAGTTGGAACAGACGCTGGTTGTGCCACAGACCCACATCTTGCCGGCCGTCAGGATAAGTCAGGACTCCAGGCCCAAGCCTTTGGCCCATATGGTACAAGCCCTGAGCACACAGAGCCACATTCAGGCATCATCTAGTGCCTAAAGGACAAATATTTTACATTATTTGTGTTCATTTTAAGAATATTTACTATGGCATAATTTAGGTGCCTAACTTTCAAACTAAAAAAATCATACAACTATGTAATAAAATCCATCTACAGTTAAAAAGATTTGCAGTTTTCATCATAGGTACACATCAACAATAAGGTGTAATCACCTACAAACAAACAAGCCAGCGCCAACAAAGGGTACAAAGGATTGAGATGGTCTTTTGTTTGTCACTAAATACTTAATTTCCACCACAAGTTGCTAATGTTTTCTCATTTTGTTTATGTATGAAGAAAATGACAAGCATCAAGTGGGAGGACTTTCACAATGGGTGGCTGACAAAATATTCTTTTGTGAAACTTCCATCTAGCCTGGTCGTACCACACCATAGTACAAATTACATTTCTCAGGTCTTCTAAATTCTTACTCCCACCTCCACAGATGGGGCTCAATTGTTTTAATCGAATTGATTAAAAAACGCGGTTTACTTGAAAGTGCATTCCATTGGGGAACAGATACTGGCCATAGCCCTCGCTTCTGTTCAGGTAGAATTTTCCGATGAACTTGTGTCCAGATGGCCAGCTGTAAACTCCTTCTCCATGTCGGAAGTCTTTGTAGAAGTCACCCTCATAAGTCTAGAAAAAACACATTTCTATCACAATTAAATGCTGAAGAAATGATAATGTTGTGAATAATGAAAACCCAAAAATACAGTGCATCAATTTATGACGATAAAAAAGAATTCAGTAAAAGACACGGAAATGTTCTCAAAAGTACTAACACAGAATTTCTACAGTAAAAGTGAATGATATTTTACACAGTGGTAGAGGGCATCTTAGTGAACAAGTGTGCAGTGAAAGTAGTCGCAAAACTATTTTTATTCTTTTTTTAATGATTTTATTAATAAAAATTGCATCTTGCTTGCTTCTCGTCGCGGCTTCCCTTTCCACGTTTACCGTAAGTAACAGCATAAAGGAGCCAACCGCTTTCAAAGTGCGGACCTCTTTACCGCTGCCGACGAAATACAGGGCCACTTTACCGCTGCAGGGCCACTTTACCGCTGCGGGGGCCACTTTACCGCTGCAGGGCCACTTTACCGCTGCAGGGGCCACTTTACCGCTGCAGGGGCCACTTTACCGCTGCAGGGCCACTTTACCGCTGCGGGGGCCACTTTACCGCTGCAGGGCCACTTTACCGCTGCAGGGGCCACTTTACCGCGGTTTCAAAGGTTTCAAAAACACCGGTTGTCTTCTTACCTCTCCGGTGTTCCACGTGTAAACTCCTTCCCCGTGTTTCAGGCCGTTCACGGTCTTTCCCTCGTAAGAAGAGCCGTCAGAGAAGTGTTGGACCCCGGCCTGGACCTGCTCTTCGCGTCCTTCACACTCCCCCGTGTGCCCCCCCAGCCCCGGCCTCACAGACACCAGGGCCCCAGGAGCTCCGGGTGCTCCGGGTGCAGGGAGCATCTCCGCAGCCGTAGTTGTACCAAAGAGTATAGATAACTTACTTTCTAAAGTACTTCCATACTCTCTTTGGTTGTGTTTGTTACTCTCAACGTAACAACGTACGGCGTTGGTGGTTGTCATGACTACGGGGACGTCTTCTTCAGGTGGAATTTAAGCGCATGCGTGGTAAGACGCGGAGACTTTCTGTAAACCACTGTCCATGCTGTAAACACTGCTGTTTATATTTTTAAATTAGTTTGAAGTCGGGATATTTAACTTTGGAACCACAGATAACACGTTCCAACACTAGATTTCACATGTCTGAGCTTTCAAAGGGATATTTTTCAGTGTGCAAAAGATGTTTTCTGATAAGATGAAGACATTTCACTTTTCTGGATACCCCCGTCTTACTGCGTATAGATGACCACAGATAATGTAAGTGTGGGTGATTATGATCCTGATAATATTTATGGACATCGGTCTTCTGCCCCTTATGGATCAATGGCTCTGTGTGTGTGTTTATTTTATTGATTCATTAGGCTAAAAAGCTTTATCAAACTTTAAGATTAACTAAGAATCTCCCTCCTGTGATGTCATCAGTACTCAATATTCTGTACATCCACCAGAATAATCTGTAAAGAACTTTTAATTTTATAAAACAGGCGTCATTCCACCAGAAAATGCAAACTACAGATAATCTATTTTTAAAGATCATATGATACCATGCATTTTCATCCTGCAGACTCGAGTTTTAATGGTTGAAAAAGCAGGAAGGATTGCCATGTTTCATAACCTTTCACTGCGGAAAAGACTGAAATGTGTTTGAGCTTTCAAAAGTCTTTTAAAGTCAAAGCGCAAAGCACCCAGGACCAGAAGAAATGGACTACTGCAAATTCATCATTTATGGAGGTGCAATAGACAATTTCAGGGACGACTTAAAAAGGAAAGGGCCACAAACATGTATTGCTTTTATTTAACCTTTACTTAACCAGAAGTTCCTCAGATGATTAGAGCTTCATTGTAGAGCGTTCACATTGTTCTAATTGAATCTTCTTCATCATCAGAAAAGTACGGACACCATTTGAATTACTTCATAATTTATTAGTCAGCGATTAAACATTGATATTGTGGGTCAAAAGACTTTTGACAAAACTTTTCCAAATGACGATATGTGGTAAAACATTAACCATCTGTATTTTTCATTGCTATTCAGAGTTATATATACAGTTATATTTAATCACTTCGTATAAAGGCAGGTAGGAAAACAACATCTTAGGATCTCTGAGGGTATTATCAAAGTGAAGACATTGACAATAATTACACAGAATACATTTAAATCCTTTGCTTATGAAGAAAATAGTCTTAGAACCCCATTGAAATAACTTTCCCTCATTAAAGCACTGTAAAGAAGATTAACAAGTTAAATGAATTCAATAGTTGTTTTGGATAAGCGTATGTTGACTGTGTTTTAAAAGAATAACAAATGGCAAAAAAATGAGATTACAAAAAAATGCAGGTATAATCTTTCAGAAAAACATTGACCATTTTTTATTGCTCTTTATTTATAGTTAGTTTAATAAAATTCTCCAAAGAGCCCGGCTACGCATCAGGCCGACAGGCGAGCACTCCCATTGGTCCAACTGTTCTCCAGCGATCCTGGTTGTGCCAAGGGGAGGGAGCTTTTTAAATATATTAATCTTAGAAAGGACTTGACATGATAGTGCAGGGACAGGTGGTCATGGGGTTAATACTAAAAACCCTGAGTAACAGTGCTTCCCTTTTCTCTTCCTTCCGTGGCATGAGAGGCAGCAGTGACAACAGGACATGTGCCTTTGGGAGCCTCTTCAAGCATTGCTTCTGTCGTCCACTGTAAATGTTTCCATGGGACCTTTGCTCAGAGCCTTGATGTCCTCAAGGAGACTGCTCGGAGTCAGGATATGAGATGAACCTTAAAAAAGCCCAAATTACATTTAAAGAGGATATGATTTCAATGTAATTCTTTAATGATGATGATGATGCAATACATCTTAGTTGCAAAATAACCCTTGTTCTATCCTCGAGTCAAATTGACCCACCACAGTAATACAAAATTACCCTAAATAATTTGTTTTCAAGCTGAATTTTGAGGATTACTCTTAACTTGACCAGCCTTGGGTCATTTAGACCCCTTTGAATCCTACATTTGGGGGCACAATACACAATATAGTGGAGAAAAGTATTTTGATATTTAATCAAATAATCATCTTAGGCCCTTTTTTTATTTTCTCTTGAGAAATTCTGGCAATTTACATTTGCGTATTACATCCAAAAAGTGGCACGTATTGCGATGTTTTGTTTTCGTGCAAGTTAGCATGAGGACAAAGACACACAACCAAGCCACACTCCACCAGGAGTGGTTTAGACCAGGCTCATCATAGAAGATAAAAGGAATATTCCACCGTGTTCACACACTGACACATGTTCTTACCTTAGACTAGTTGATATGTACCTGTCTGGTCTGTGTCCGTGTGCTCTGTCATGCAAACGGAGCACAAACACAGCCTCTTCCACAGACTGTATAGTTCCAAATCAGCTCTCGTTAGAAACTACCAAACTCTTCCACGTGTTCCCTATTTAAATACAGTTATGTGACGTGTTACTCTACAAAGTATAGTAACACAGAAATGTAACATGTCAATATTCTCAGCGGATAAAAAGAGGAACTATATTGTGAGGCGTAATAATACGCTACATCCGCGCACTAATTCCAACAAGCCACGCTGCTTCTATTGACGGAAGTGAGCGGGAGAGAAGTCTTTAGGAGTTAGTGCACGGACGAAGCGCTCCTCACGTTCGTGCGTTTGTGCTGCGTTTGCATGACAGAGCACGGACAAAGACCAGACATATCAACTAGTCTAAGGTAAGAACATACAGTGCCTTGCGAAAGAAATGTGGCGAAATGTTGAACCTTTCAATATTTCGCCACATTTCAGGCTTCAAACATAAAGATATAAAAAAAAATTGTCATGAATCAACAACAAGTGGGACACAATCGTGAAGTGGAACGAAATTTATTGGATAATTTAAACTTTTTTTAACAAATAAAAAATTGAAAAGTGGGGCGTGCAATATTATTCGGCCCCTTTACTTTCAGTGCAGCAAACTCAGTCCAGAAGTTCAGTGAGGATCTTTGAATGATCCAATGTTGTCCTAAATGACTGATGATGATAAATAGAATGCACCTGTGTGTAATCAAGTCTCCGTATAAATGCACCTGCTCTTTGATAGTCTCAGGGTTCTGTTTAAAGCACAGAGAGAACCATGAAGACAAAGGAACACACCAGGCAGGTCCGAGATACTGTTGTGGAGAAGTTTAAAGCCGGATTTGGATACAAAAAGATTTCCCAAGCTTTAAACATCTCAAGGAGCACTGTGCAAGCAATTATATTGAAATGGAAGGAGTATCAGACCACTGCAAATCTACCAAGACCCGGCCGTCCCTCCAAACTTTCATCTCAAACAAGGAGAAGACTGATCAGAGATGCAGTCAAGAGGCCCATGATCACTCTGGATGAACTGCAGATAACTACAGCTGAGGTGGGAGAGTCTGTCCATAGGACAACAATGAGTCGTGCACTGCACAAATCTGGCCTTTATGGAAGAGTGGCAAGAAGAAAGCCATTTCTCAAAGATATCCATAAAAAGTCTGGTTTAAAGTTTGCCACAAGCCACCTGGGAGACACACCAAACATGTGGAAGAAGGTGCTCTGGTCAGATGAAACCAAAATCGAACTTTTTGGCCACAATGCAAAACGATATGTTTGGCGTAAAAGCAACACAGCTCATCACCCTGAACACACCATCCCCACTGTCAAACATGGTGGTGGCAGCATCATGCTTTGGGCCTGCTTTTCTTCAGCAGGGACAGGGAAGATGGCTAAAATTGATGGGAAGATGGATGGAGCCAAATACAGGACCATTCTGGAAGAAAACCTGTTGGAGTCTGCAAAAGACCTGAGACTGGGACGGAGATTTATCTTCCAACAGGACAATGATCCAAAACATAAAGCCAAATCTACAATGGAATGGTTCACAAATAGACGTATCCAGGTGTTAGAATGGCCAAGTCAAAGTCCAGACCTGAATCCAATCCAGAATCTGCGGAAAGAGCTGAAGACTGCTGTTCACAAACGCTCTCCATCCAACCTTACTGAGCTCCAGCTGTTTTGCAAGGAAGAATGGGCAAGAATTCCAGTCTCTCGATGTGCAAAACTGATTGACATACCCCAAGCGACTTGCAGCTGTAATTGCAGCAAAAGGTGGCGCTACAAAGTATTAGCGCAAGGGGCCGAATAATATTGCACGCCCCACTTTTCAGTTTTTTATTTGTTAAAAAAGTTTAAATTATCCAATACATTTTATTCCACTTCACGATTGTGTCCCACTTGTTGTTGATTCTTGTCAAAAAATTAACCCACAGTGATGCTTCTTGGAGTTACATTTTCAGGTGAAAAGCTTGTGTGTGTGTGTGTGAACTGACCGATGATGACTTGGCAGGACTTGACCGCCTGCGTAACCTCGTAGGCACAGCGCATCTCTGAGTGTGAGAGTCCTCCGATGATGAAGATGATGAGACGGGCACCTCTGCGCTCATCCTGGGAACTGCCCTTGTGCTTCTGCCGGGCACTGAGTGCAAACATGCATGCAGTGAGCTGACCCGGCCACAAGTAGCCCACATAATCTACTAAAACCTAATATTCAGTACATCTGAAATCCCAATATGGATCGACAGCATGAAACAAAAGATGTCTGTGCCCTTCCATAGAAAGCTATAGTAAGTGAAATGAGGGTAGCGAAGCAGACCAACCTGACGGCCCCAGAGCCGTTCCATGCTGCAGGACACTCCGACTGATGTGGCCACTCTCTGGTGTCCAGCTTATTCTCCACCGCATCCTGAAATCACATTACTTTACAGTCAGTGTCTTTATTAGGTCAGGGACCAAACACCCAGTTCAGTTTGTCTACAACAGGGGTCGGGAACCCAAAATGTTCAAAGAGCCATAATTGACAAAAAAACTAAAAACAACATCTGTCTGGAGCCGCAAAAAAATAACAGCCTTGTATAAGGCTTTTATGAAGTTAACACAGGCTGCAAGATGTATTAGCTATATTAGCCTAATATCTAAATGACAAAGTAAAGGCTACAAATACATAATAATCATTCATTATTTTCACTGCAGCGTGTCGCACCACGCGTGTCGTTAATGACGCAACACGGGACGACTCTGCTTTAGTTTAACTTCCATTTTTTTGCCTTCATGCAGTTGTAGAAATACAGTAAATCAATCTGCTTTGGGGTCAGAGGTCACACACCTGCATCACTGTCTGCTCATATCCATCACATCACAGGCTGAAGTTTGCTGGAGCTGAATTAAAATCCTTAATGGCCTTTTCTTTCACCGTCTTTGAGAAGGTTTTGAAGTCTGAAAATAGGTGCTCTGACTTTTTGATGAATGAGTCCTTCACGTAATCACCGTGTACGGTGTTTTGCGCGTCATTGTTCCTCGTGTTGCAACAAAACTTTTCATTACAAACATGAAGCAGTCCTTCCTCATTGACTGATCCTCATTCTTAGTCCAGTCTTGTTATCGACTCTTTCTCGTTTTAGCTTTGGGATCAATGTGCACTTACAGTCTATCATGCACACACGCCGGTTTGTTTACAGCAGCGGCTGAAGGGGGCGGGGCCGCGTGACCGCGCGTCATATGATATGACGCAGTACGTTGACAGAAATGTTGAAATTAAATATTACTTATACATATTTTTACAGCATTTAAAAACGTAAAGATTGTTTTTCCTTCTACAGAAACCACATTCAAACTAGAAATAAAATATAGCCCTCACACTCCATTTTCAGACATTTTTGAAAAGTCTCCAGGAGCCACTCCAGGAGCACTCAAGAGCCGCATGCGGCTCCGGAGCCGCGGGTTGCCGACCGATTTCGCCACATTTCAGGCTTCAAACATCCATCCATTTTCTACCCTTTAATCCATTTCTGGCCAAGTCTCATAGCACCAGCCCCTCTCTGATCCTCTGCAGGTGGTGAGTCCACAGGAGGACGCCTGCTCTCTGACTGTGAGCATAGCCTTGATCTTCAAACATAAAGATATACAAATTATTTTTTTTGTCAAGAATCAACAACAAGTGGGACACAAACGTGAAGTGGAACAAAATGTATTGGATAATTTAAACTTTTTTAACAAATAAAAAACTGAAAAGTGGGGCGTGCAATATTATAAATGAAAACACGGGTGAACTATTTATGGGAATGATCCATTTTGAGAACACATCATGTTCTACTGTAGATGAACTGTTTAACTCTGTCACCTCTAGTGTGTTGAATGCTCTGGACGCCATTGCCCCTGTGAAGGTAAAAATGGTCACAAATAAGCAAAAAGCCCCATGGATAAAAGCAGGCCCGGTCAGGGCACAGAAGCAAGAGTGCCGGAGAGCAGAGAGAAAGTGGAGAAAGTCCAACCTCCAGGGTGATTATAAACTCTTAAAAGAGAAGTTGTGTGAGTTTAACAGAGTACTACGTAGAACAAGAGAATTATACTTTTCTGAAACTATTGAAGGCTGCAGCAACAATCTGCGTGTTCTATTTTCAACAATCAATAGATTAACGAACCCCCCTGTTGAGTTGCCATTAGAACACTACTCCAAATCCAGGTGTAATGAGTTTGCACAGTTCTTCAGAGACAAGGTTCAGGGTATCAGAAATGCCATCACCTCTACAACACAAGTAACAATGCAACATCCAGTGAGGCTTTGTGAGCTAGCTCAATTTGCACCTGTCAATGATGAAACTGTTAAAAAGATAATCACAGGTCTTAGTTCCTCTACCTGCAGTCTGGATGTACTACCTCCTAGATTTCTGAAGTCTGTTATGTGTGGTCTATTACCCTCATTGACACAAATAGTAAACATGTCTTTTTTATCTGGAACATTTCCAATGGCCCTGAAAAAGGCAGTCATCAGGCCCCTCCTAAAAAAGAGCAGTTTGGATGCTGCGGTACTTGAAAATTACCGTCCCATCTCAAATCTGCCTTTCATGGGAAAAATTCTTGAAAAAGTTGCCTACCAACAACTTACTGAATTTTTAATATCTAATGACTCATTTGACATGTTCCAGTCTGGCTTTAGACCACACCACAGTACTGAGACCGCTCTAGTCAAGGTAACAAATGATATTCGGCTTAACACTGATGCAGGAAAAGTCTCTGTTTTAGTCATGTTAGATCTGAGTGCCGCTTTCGACACCGTTGACCATGAGATTCTCATGCAGAGACTGGAGGACTGGGTTGGTGTTGCTGGTACCGCCCTAAGCTGGTTTAGGTCCTATCTAGAAGAAAGGAAGTATTGTGTGGAGATTGGAGACTATGTCTCAGATAATATGGCCCTGACCTGCGGAGTGCCACAGGGGTCGATTCTGGGACCTCTCCTGTTCAATATTTACATGCTGCCATTAGGTCAGTTAATTCAAAGTATGAAAGTGTCCTACCACAATTACGCTGATGACACTCAGATCTATGTCTCACTGACTGCAGGAGAGCATGGACCGGTGGACTCACTCCTTCGCTGTATCCAGCGGATCAGTGAGTGGATGCAATGCAATTTTCTCCAGCTAAATGCGGACAAAACCGAAATGATTGTCTTTGGTCCCGAGAAACAAAGAGAGACCGTCATTTGTCACCTTCAGTCTCTCTCCCTAAGGCCTTTAAATAAGGTCAGAAATCTGGGAGTAATAATGGACTCTGACTTAAACTTCAATAGCCACATTGGATCGGTAACATCAGCAGCTTTTTATCATCTGAAAAATATTGCCAAAATTAAAAATATTGTGTCCAGGGCAGACTTGGAGATTCTTATCCATTCTTTTGTTTCCAGTAGGCTGGATTACTGCAATGGCCTGCTCACAGGTATCTCCAAACATGCAGTAAAACAGCTGCAGTATATTCAAAATGCTGCAGCCCGAGTCCTGACTAGAACCAGGAAGTACGACCACATTAGTCCGGTCCTCAGGTCTCTGCACTGGCTTCCCGTGGCCCAGAGGATAGACTTTAAAGCAGCTCTCCTGGTGTACAAGTCTCTCCATGGCCTTGCACCAAAGTACATCCATGATATGCTAGTCCCATATGAACCAGCCCGGACTCTGAGGAGCGCAGGGACGGGACTCCTGTTAGTGCCCAGAGTCAGGACTAGACAGGGGGAGGCTGCTTTTCAGATTTATGCAGCTAAAGTCTGGAACAGTCTTCCTGAGGATGTGAGACTGGCTGCCTCTCTGTCAATGTTCAAATCCATGTTAAAGACCTTTCTTTTTTCCTGTGCATACAACTAGAGAATTTTATCTTTTTAACACACCTTGTTATTTATTGTTGTAACTGTTTGTGTTTATAACTATTTTATTGTTTTTAATTACTTGTGTGATTATGTTTTTAAATTACTTATGTGATTTTAATGCTTTTTAATTACATATGTGTTTTTAATTGTATTTTAATGGTGATGATTTGTGCATTGTGTGGTGTGGACTGTGAGGCGCTTTGTGTTGCCCTGTGCAGGAAAAGCGCCCTATAAATAAAGATTGATTGATTGATTGATTGATTATTCGGCCCCTTGCGCTAATACTTTGTAGCACCACCTTTTGCTGCAATTACAGCTGCAAGTCGCTTGGGGTATGTCTCTATCAGTTTTGCACATCGAGAGACAGGAATTCTTGCCCATTCTTCCTTGCAAAACAGCTTGAGCTCAGTGAGGTTGCATGGAGAGCGTTTGTGAACAGCAGTCTTCAGCTCTTTCCACGGATTCTCGATTGGATTCAGGTCTGGACTTTGACTTGGCCATTCTAACACCTGGATACGTCTATTTGTGAACCATTCCATTGTAGATTTGGCTTTATGTTTTGGATCATTGTCCTGTTGGAAGATAAATCTCCGTCCCAGTCTCAGGTCTTTCGCAGACTCCAACAGGTTTTCTTCCAGAATGGTCCTGTATTTGGCTCCATCCATCTTCCCATCCATTTTAGCCATCTTCCCTGTCCCTGCTGAAGAAAAGCAGGCCCAAAGCATGATGCTGCCACCACCATGTTTGACAGTGGGGATGGTGTGTTCAGGGTGATGAGCTGTGTTGCTTTTACGCCAAACATATCGTTTTGCATTGTGGCCAAAAAGTTTGATTTTGGTTTCATCTGACCAGAGCACCTTCTTCCACATGTTTGGTGTGTCTCCCAGGTGGCTTGTGGCAAACTTTAAACAAGACTTTTTATGGATATCTTTGAGAAATGGCTTTCTTCTTGCCACTCTTCCATAAAGGCCAGATTTGTGCAGTGCACGACTGATTGTTGTCCTATGGACAGACTCTCCCACCTCAGCTGTAGTTATCTGCAGTTCATCCAGAGTGATCATGGGCCTCTTGGCTGCATCTCTGATCAGTCTTCTCCTTGTTTGAGATGAAAGTTTGGAGGGACGGCCGGGTCTTGGTAGATTTGCAGTGGTCTGATACTCCTTCCATATCAATATAATTGCTTGCACAGTGTTCCTTGAGATGTTTAAAGCTTGGGAAATCTTTTTGTATCCAAATCCGGCTTTAAACTTGTCCACAACAGTATCTCGGACCTGCCTGGTGTGTTCCTTTGTCTTCATGGTTCTCTCTGCGCTTTAAACAGAACCCTGAGACTATCAAAGAGCAGGTGCATTTATACGGAGACTTGATTACACACAGGTGCATTCTATTTATCATCATCAGTCATTTAGGACAACATTGGATCATTCAAAGATCCTCACTGAACTTCTGGACTGAGTTTGCTGCACTGAAAGTAAAGGGGCCGAATAATATTGCACGCCCCACTTTTCAGTTTTTTATTTGTTAAAAAAAGTTTAAATTATCCAATAAATTTT